TCTGCCGGTCAAGCCAATCAAATCGTTGTTTATTAGCTTGAGGAAGGGTATGGATTAGTGTACGTACACTCCGGCCTGTCAACTGACACATCCCACACCTTCCGTGAAGAACTTAGGTATACTCTTAAGCTGTGATTTGAAGCCAGTGGACAACACGAATAGACTACAAAGAAACAGACTGCGCAAGCTTCGGGCTATCAAATGCAATTTCTGCACTCTGTAAGAAGAGATTGTCACTCGCCTCCTATCTTCAACTATTGGACCAATGCTAGAGTACAGTTCGCTCGCCTACTTTTCGATCGGCCAAGGCGATGCTCAGATCGAACGCGCTCAGAATGTCGCTACCATGCCCATCCTCACTTTGCTGGGTTTATCGTACGATGACAGGTGCGAGAGACTGAAACTTTACACCTTGTCTTATCTTCGGGTGTTCGTCGACCTCTTCCTGACGTTCCGTACTTTACCTCTAGCTTACTTCTCCATGCTAAGGTCACTGCTCCACTTTCAAACACACTGCTGCATATGCGGACCTTTGATGCCTTTCCGTATCTGCTAATCGGGATGTGGTCACCAACCACATCAAGACACGGCAATGCTAACAATAACTCTTTCTGTTTACACAAATTGTGGCTTCGGTAAATTACGGTATTCAAGCAGTGCTTTGTCGAGTATTCTAGATTAAATAGGTGAGAATTCATCCCAGTCAGGCAGACAGCTATCACACGCCCGAAGAAGTTCCGTAAATAAAGAAATAAATCATCAGTTGTACGCCGTAACGGCGTTTCGCTGCTGCGCGACCACCACCAGTCGCGCGTGGGCTAAGTATAACGCGAGGTCGCCCGACCCTACGCGGAATCGAACCGGTGACATTATGGTTGCAAGCCAGGTGTGCAGACCACAATTGGCCACCGGCCGTTTCATCCTTTCGGAAATCTACAGCATTGCTCGAACCCGCAGTTTGACTGTTGCCAGTCTGTGTTTGAGATCACCGTGCTAGGGGGACGGTAACGACTGCTATGACTATGCCACAAGATTCGATATAGCACCACCCACTACCCATAACATTCAAAACCATGTACTGTTCAACTGCAATATCGATATCAGCTGCTTTTGCTCGTGCTGTCACTCACCTTCACACGCCACCTGTTCATGTGTTACCAATCACTTATCCGTTACCAAATGATTCTTGTTTCCACGATTCTACTCCGGATGGTTTCGTTGACACCCAGAGAGCTCGCCCAGTCGCGCTCCTTTGGCCTCGCTCTTCGTTCCGTCTGGTATGCTTCAATGTACGTACACTTATGTAGATCGGGCAGCAAGCTGGTCTTGCGCACACCCTGGGATCCCCCGCCATCGATGTTTGCTGTCTTTCCGGAACGCGCTTACAAGATCCAAGTACTGTGATTGAGTTGAGATCTCCCACAGACCACGGAGCCATATTTCACCTACGTCTATCTGGTGACGCAGAAGCCGCTGCAGCAGGCTTGGCTGGCGTTGGTGTAGCGCTAAGTAGCAAAGCCGAGGCAGCACTGTTGGACTGGTTCCCGATTACTAGCCGACTGTGCGCAGTTCGGCTTCGGGCATCATGCAAGATAAACCGATATCGTGAGGTGAGGCGTAACTTGTTTGTGATCTCAGCTTACGCTTGAACTGACTGCAGTTCCGACTCCGTCAAGGACGATTTCTACCGTGAACTTCATCAGCTCTTGGACAGAGCCTGCAAATCCGACATTGTTTTCCTTGCTGGGTATCTTAACGCATTGGTCGGTTGTCTGTTGACATGCGAAAGTCACCTCGGTGGTCACTATGCGCTCGATGAGAGCCGCTCAGATAATGGAGAGACTTTTCACACTATGCGAAGATAATCATCTGTTTCTCTCGAGCACCAGCTTTCGGCATTCGAGGAGACGTTCCGTTACTTGGCGACGCCCTTCTGCGTCTCAAGCATGGTCTCAGATAGATCATTTTGTAATCCGTTTTAGTTGGAGGGGTAGTGTAAAGGATTGCAAATCCATCTGGTCCACTTTCCTCGACTCAGACTATGCTCTTGTCTGTGCGAACATCTGCATGAGTTTCGGAGGGTACTTATGTATTTTACTGCGGCTAGCTCCTGCGACAGGATGATCCGGCTTCATAAATGTCGCGAATTGCAGCGCAATCGGCGGCAAGCTCCACGCAGATACTGATCCAGTGATTCCTCCAGTGACGAGCACCATGCACAATATGGAGTCCCAGAAGATCGACATCCGATTTCACTGCAGTGAGCCACGTTTTCAATTGTCCACCACAGCGTGATACCAACCTTGGCAAAGCGAGGGTGAAACCACGGCCCTAGTGTAGTCAGTGTCTGGTCTGCGGAGGACGTGACCGAACCACTGAAGTCTGCGGCGTTGGATGAGCGTTGTGTGCTTCGGAAGACCGTAACAGCACTTTCGGCTTTCGTCATTGGTGATACGCTCATGCCACTACGCTTTCAAGATAATCCTTAGACACCAATCGTCGAAGAATTCCAGCTTCCGGGTGTCTTCGGATCGCAGCGTCGATGTTTCGCAATCATAGAGTAAAATGACACCAATGGTTGCTAAGAATACTCGGATCTTCGTTCTCAGACTAATTTCCGTCCTTTGCCACAATGTGTTTCTCAGTTGTAAGAAGACTCTTCTAGCGCTGTCAATGCGATTCCGGATTTCGGATGTAGCCTGATCATTGGGGAGTATAGTGGATCCAAGATACTTGAACTCAGAAACAGATTCGATGAGTTGTCCATGTAAGGCGGGCGACGGGGCGGAATGGGTGGCTAACGATGATAATTATTTCGTCTTGCTGATGTTAATTTCGTGGCCGATCAAAGAGGCTGATTGGTGGACCAGATTTAGCAGTGACTGTAGTGATATAGCATCTTCCACAAGGATAGCGATAACGTCAACAGGTTCTACATCTGACAGCCAGAAGTCAGGGCTAACTTGAATATCACGATAGCCTTCAAGGGCATGATGCAAACCCCAGTCGACTGCGAAGTTAATCAGCACTGAAAGTCGGCAACCCTGTCGGACTCCAGTATTGATGTCGAATTCTTGTGTTTCTTTTCCATAGACCCGAATCCGGGCTTTCGTGCAACGGCAGTATGATCTCATCTAGTTAACGAGTTTAACCGGCACGCCATCGGCAAGTAGTATTCTCCAGAGTAGCTGTTATTTCTTACGCCCAGCTAACTAGTTTGATGGGTGATAGTGATGCTTTCTTTAGGAACTCTTTAGAATTCCGGAAGGTTTCTCTTATAGCTTGTTCGTTTATAAACTGTCCAAGGAGGACGCCTATTTCACTTATTATTTTTTGAATACCAGTGACATCCCTTGTTACCTTTCACTGTTCTACATCTTGTTATCCTTCTCAGGTATTCATTGAGTTCGTTCTCACGATCTTCTGGTTTAAACACCATCTACGGCGACATTGCTGTTTATACGAAACTTTAGACCAGATAGCTTCCTTCGGTCATTCCAGCACCATACGTCACTCAGATGCAACTGATATAGATTTAAGGACTCGGATTACAAATCTATTAACGTTTACTTTAAGTGGGTACTTTTTATCTGCCTCGTTGCTGCAAGCAGCAGATAGGTGCTCACTTTATTTCTGACCCATGAAGGGAAAACGAATCGGAATTAAATGACCTTAGATATTGATCCATAGGCAGTGCTCGCACCTCACGCACTCGCATCAGCCTTGAGCTAAAAGTGACAACCTCGTCACCCGCCGATCTTGTATTATGAAACAAGCATTTCCCTTTATGATTCCAAGCATACAAATCAGTAGACATGGATTGTACGATGACACCGTTATTTCGTGCATTCCTATCAATCATAAAAACATGCAACCTTGGAACATTAACAGTGATCACAGCTAGCAAAATGCATGGACTACCATGGTAGGCTCAGAGCCACTGTCAGCTGCTTTTGACTCGGGAAACCGAGCTACCTCAGCAGTCAACAGGCATCTGCTGACTACTGGTCACCGAGTCAATCCTGATGAGTCGTTCACATTCCTAATTCGCGATCAGCGGCCCCAAATCCTTAGGCCATTGGAGGCTATCGTTGTCGATCGCGAACGACCTTCACTGTGCATTCAAATGCAGCTGACAGTGGCTCTGAGCCTACCGTGGTAGTCCATACACTTTGCTATCTGTGCTCATCGTTTATGTTCCATTGATGCATGTTTTTATTATGGATAAGGATGCACGAAATGTCGGCATCATCTCATAATCTACATCTTCTGATTTTTATGTTTGGATCTTGTGTCAGCCAGCTAGGTTGAGGCAACTCTCGTTCATGTCCACCATGAACTGCTACGGTTATGTAGCCAGTGTATGAACGTTGTGGTGAGGACTAACAGGACAGTGACGTCCCAGCGGACAGAAGGCGAATCGAGCTCGTTCGATAAGCCAACCGCTTGATGATACCCACCTGCGTTGGATGACACAATTCAGAGTTGGTTGGGGCTATTTCGACTAGGCGCCTGGCCGTTCTAAACACAGGCAAGTGTGAACTAATACTATCGTACTGATGTCACGACGGGACCATTGAAGATATAAAAAATAACCTCAGGCCGATTGGGGTGACTAATCGGCCTACTTTTTATTGATTCCTTATTGTCCTTGGCACTGTTAGTTGAGCATTCTCAGTCAATTATTTACTGTTTCTTGCATCAGGCCCGCGCGCCCACTTTATTGATCTCATGAGGATGTCGTACGCACCATCTGGTACTTAGTAAGAGGCATGGTTCATTCTCTTGTTCTTCCGAAATGAATAAGAAGGGACGTTCTCCAGAAGTTGTACTTGCAACGAAATGGCTAAAGGGGTTGTGTGCGATTAGTGTATCAGTCGAATCGCCTCATCAGGTTTTTATGCCTTTGGAGCTTATTAATCACCTTCAATTACGTCACTGTTGTGCTGTGATTGCTCTCTGTCCCTGTGCTAACCCACTGTTGCACTTCCATTTTCTAGGTAATTCAAGTGGTCGACTGCGACGACTTGTATGAGGTTCCCATCCTATTAGACAAGCAAGGTATTTGCGATCTCCTCCTCAAGCACTTTTGTCTGACCCCGAAGCCTGTGATTGAGGTGCCTGTGTTGGCAAAGTGGAAGGCATTGACTCGACGCCTCAAACAAGCCAGCCAGAACATAAGCGTGGCGATAGTCGGAAAATACACCAAGCTAGATGACGCTTACTTATCACTAATCAAGGTTAGTCAATATTTGCTCTTGTTTTCCAATCTCTGTGCTTTCTCAGCTGTGATCACATGGCTCCTAGAACTCTAAGCGTTCATTCGGTCCGTGCGATGATCTACAAGATCCAAGTTCGAGTTGGTACCTATCACCTTTGCTTGTTTTGCTGTTCTACCTCCTTAGTAGACTATTTCATCGGTCCGCATGCGTTCTATCTCATCTTAGTCAATTCCAAGGTTAAGAGCCGTAAGTCGGTGATGCATAGTTCGATTGAGAGTTATATTCATATTTATATATTTATTCACAGTCTGTTAACAGACATTGTGCCTTCATAACCATGGCAGGAGAAAAAAGTGGAAAGATAGGAACACGAACTGCGATTAAAAATGGGAAACGATTGTTTTTGGTTTTACACACGCCATTTCGAATTTTTGTTTTTGCGTTTTTTTGTGTGTATTAAAAGGGGGGATATAATGGCAGAACAACATTGACGCCACTGATGTCTGTTGCGGGCCATGACGTCCAATGTTTCCAACCACTGCGATTCAGCATCTCGTGGTCCCCAACCTGGAAGACGGACTAGTCCGACTGCTGCCAAACTTGAGGTTGCCTTCTTCATGCTCCTTCTCCACGTCATTGGCTGTCCACCGCGGCACTTTTTCCAATCGCTCCCTGGGAGTGTGTTATAACGCTGCGCCCGCAATCGACCGGTTGATTCACGCCAGCTGGTAAATCTGCGCCCTTACGCCTGCTCTGTTTGACGCCTTGACAAACCCGACAGGAAGGAAGACAGAAGAAGACTCAGCAGACCAGAGTTGTATTAGGACAGAGAACGCTCATATTTATATGTCGGTCTCACCAACCCTCCAAACATCACCAGGCGGATTTGGCTGTAAGCCCACGCTCCACACATGCTTGTCCGCTCCGTCTGTCCAGTTCACCGTCTTGCTCGGGCACTCCAGTCTTCGTCCGCCTACCCGGTGCATGGCAACGCACGTGATGTCTGACGCGCGATTTCATCAGCTTCCGGTCAGGCCTTGGCAACACGCCTGCTGTCTGATGCGCGATTTCATCAGCTTTCGGCTGGGCCCTGGCAACACGCTCGCAGGGTCTTTCCCAAGCACTATTTGTGGCGAACAGGTGCGCGTTGGCAATCAGCTTCCTCCCCCATCTGTCAGGATGCAAATAGTGCTCAATGTGGAAGGCGATGGGCTGGCATGCGCAAAACGTGCCCGAGCATGCGATCTTGAAGAATACCGTCCTGAAGACTGTCACTATTCGCTCCAAGCACGCGGTCTCGCACCTCTGCGTTGCTTACGTGATGTTGCCACCACACCCGAGCAATTCTTCCTAGACAGCGATTGTCGAAGACTGACAGCCGCTTCATGTCTTCCGAGCGAATAGTCCGTCTCACAGCCGTACAAGAGTACTGCACGGACGGAAGCATTGAGCTTGAGACTAACATCACGACAACGCCATAGGTGTCTTGGTTTGATGAATGTAAGGCAGGCCTTTGCAGTTCGTTGTGAAACTTCATCTCCAACACCGCCACCAGCCGTGATGCAACTCCCTAGATAAGTAAAGCAAGGGACTGGTTCCAGAACATATCCACCACTGATGAGCGTGGGTTCGGGCACCTAACAGTCCTAGAGCAGCGTTTTACATTTTTCCGGAGTGAAACATAAGCCGTACTTAGACGCCTCCATCGCTAAGCGGTCCAAAGCGCTCTGCACGGTTTGTGGTTCGTCCCCCAGCAAGGCGATATCATCGGCGTAGTCCAAATCCGTGACTCTGTCTCCAGGGAGGAGCTCAACCCCGCAGTCCTGGACACCTTTCAGTGCTCTTTGGACAGCACCGATGGCGAAATTGAAGAGGAAAGGTGAAATAGGGCAACCTTGGCGAGCACCGCTGGTCACAGCAAATGAAGAAGAGAGCGTGCCGTAAGCCCTGATTTTGCCCGACCTGGGGTTGTCAAGTTCTTTCAGGATGGTTACAAACTTGTCGGGCACACCTTTTTCAGTAAACAGTTCCACAACGCAGATCTATCTACTGAGTCAAATGCCGCTCGGATGTCCAAAAACACTACAATTGTTGGCCGCCGATGGATGTGACGAAGTTCGAGAACCTGCCGAAGCGTGAAGATTTGGTCGATACAGCCGCGGCCTGGACGAAATCCGGCTTGTTCTTCTCGGGAAAACTCTTCTCTAGTCGTTGAAATCCTGCGAAGTAGGACCGACACGAAGATTTTGGATGCGACAGAGATTAACGAGATTCCGCGGTAGTTGCAACAATCGTCGCGGGGGCTCTTCTTGTGAATCGGAACAATGAGCGATTCTCCCCATGAGTTCGGAACCTTCTCAGTCCAAACTTTCGTGAACAGCGATAGGATTTCGTTGACAAGTACACTCCCGCCATCTTTGAATAGAGCCGGTGGTAGGTTGTCGGGACCCTAAACATTGTGCCGTTTCACAGATTGAATTGCATTTCGGATCTCTGCTTCATTTGGGGGGGGGGGCTGTGGAGACAGGCCAAGCATCATCCATTGGGGCTGGGTGTGTCACAGGGGGATGTGTTGGGTGATTGAATCGAAGAGCGAAATGTTCTGCCCAACGACCTAATCGCCTGTGAAGGTTGGTGATTTTCGTGTCTTCTGATTCGCAAATCGTCTGGCTGATAGTGTAGGAATTGCAACCGGTGGCCTTATTGATGCAAAATGGACGGCGGAAGTTGCCAGCTGATGCAGCGGCTTCCATCTCATCAGCTTATTTTTACCACCAATATTCACGATCCGAGCGAAGGCTTGCTTTCAGCTGTTGCGTAATAGACCGGCGGTGTTCGTTGTACTCTGCGCCAGCAGCACCGCCCGTCGACGATTGAGAGTTGCTTTAATTCATCCCAGACGGTCAACCACCGGAGTTTGGTGCAACGCTTTTCTACATCTCTTATGGTCACTATATTGTGACATAAAAAGGGATCATAATTACAGAAGATAGGATAATCGATTAATGGAGTAGCAATTGATAATGGTTTGCCAACGAAAGAGCATGGTTGACGCTTTCTCTCCGTCAATTCTATTGACACCAATTGTATGAGGAAAGTCTGGTTGACATACTCCATCAACCAGTCAAACTTTCACTTCAAATGAAGGCTTTCGAATAGAAGCATTTATGATTACCTCCGATCATAGTCTAACAAAAGCGTTGCTACCCGTGAGACGCTCAGAGAATAAATCCCGTGGTTTCCTCTACCTCTGGACCTGTACACAAATGTTTCTGCAGGAACGGAATTTCCTGAATGTTGGACTACGCCGCATATTAGGGTAGTCGGTTGAATTAATGTCAGTCCGTTAATCATCAGAGAGTGATCTGTCTCATTTCTGTGGGTAAATACTTGCGCGACCATCAAAAAGTAAAGCCACCTTCATTACTTCTTCCAGGGCTTCTGGGGAGCTAGAGAATCATTAAGTGACTTCGGACTATTGCCTCGGTGGCTCCCCACGTCTTTCTGATCCTTTTGAATATGTGAATGATCACGGTCAGCAAACAAGTGTCCACAAACCTCGCTTCTGTGCACCACCGTCATCACTACCCAATTGTCGAATCGAGCCACTTATGTTTACTGAAGTTACTCCGCTGCTTGCCGCATGTGTAAATGCATTCCTGATAATCTACCCTACGCATATCTCGTGAAACTAAAATTGCTTTTACACCTCTTTTCACTTTGTGTTTATGTTACCCTTTTAACTCATTACGGATCGGTTTTTATCCCACCACGCCACTAAACCGCATTATTTTATCTCTCTCCCTCTGATCGGTAGGCTTTGCGCCACGCGGCCATCTACGCAGATTGTCGTGTGAACATCCGGTTGGTGTGTTGCGAGAACCTCGAAAATCAGGTTCGTTTATTAAGTCCAGACCAGTACCATCAAGCCTGGCTCACTGTGAGCAGTTGCGATGCTGTTGTGGTAGCTGGCGGTTTTGGACCTCGGGGCCTTGAAGGGAAGTTGGAGGCAATCCGTTTCTGTCGCGAGCGTGGTGTTCCCTTTCTCGGTCTTTGTCTTGGCCTGCAGTGCGCAGTGATAGAGTTTTCCCGAAACGTCCTTGGGTTGACAGTAAGTTCCGTGCTCACTCACCGTTTCATCCTTTGCGCAGATTGCTCAGTTCACAGTTAACGCAAAACGTTTGATTACTGTATGTTAAATTGCTTCATGCATTACTTTCTTTTAAGTGTAGGGTGTTCCGCTGTTTTTTGTCGTCTAACATTTATCTCGACTAATTTCAGCATCTTAGTAGCTTTCAGCTTCGAATTCTTCTTATCAACTATATGCGCTGCATGATTACTCAAATTCAGCCTACATTTACCGGTTCTGTTTTCATTATGAATAATGGTTGGGGTTTCCTTTGCTCTGCGTCGTCTAGTCAGGTCGATGAGATTGTCCATTTGTTTCCGCTTTCGACCTCTTCATGGTACCATTCACTTGGCTTAATCACGTTATGCTCGTCCGCTCTCGTTTCTGGGAATTAGGTCGTGAACAACCCGTTCCCCTCCGACTTCCGTGGCTTTGTAATGCTCGCATCTACGATGCGTTTCTCCGCCGGATTTTGGTGGCAGGGGATTCTGATTCATATCAGTACTCGATAGAGTGTGAGAACAGATTATCCCCTTTCTTTTACGAGGATATCTGTATTTTAAACTCTGTTTCATCATCGTGGCTGTCGTTAAAAGTACGTTGAAACAGCAGGCGGTCTAAGAAAAAGGCGGTTAGTTGTACCGCGGATGTTATGACAGTATTGAAGATGGTTGGTGTGGTGTCTGGACCTAAGTAGTTCTAGGTGTTGGGGATGCAAACGTTCCTGCGTGCTCATCTCGCGCGAACTTCAGAAAGGTTTTTGAAACAAAATGCACGGTTGCATTTCGTAGTAATTGTTGCTTAGCACTTTCCTACTGATTAACGTACGCGGTTCCTCTAATCTTTAACTGTAGGTCCGTAGACCGTTCATGTGCAACTCGGCCGCCGAGTCAAGATACCACCGAACCGGCCGTTGATACCCAGTCAAACAGTGTTACCTCAATCAAGTACCATGCACGTGATCGGAAAACGCCCTGATGAGTCTCGTTTAGGGTGCACTGCATATGATGCACTTACTACCTCAAATAAGGGTCATCAAGCTGCACTGATTCTCCCGAGCCGATGCCGCTTTTTCGGGTAACCCCAGTTGCATCCTTCAGATTTGCTCTTGTTCCTGAAAGTGATGGCACAAAGCATCTCGGCGCGGAACAGTTTGGGTCTGATGCGACAGGTCCGATTGCGAACGAAAAGCTGTCAGAGTTGAGGGATCAACGCGTTACAAATCCCTTGATATCGTTGATTTGTCAGTGATTGTCCCAACTCCCTAGGAATCGCAGAAACCAAGTATTATCAGGGATATATTTGCCAACACGGTTTCTCACCACAGAGTAAATGATGTATCTAGGGAATGTGCGGAGAAATTCGCGGTGGATCGTATTACAAATCGTTTTTTAGTCCATGACGAAAGAGCAAGTGGAGTAGAATGTCTCCGGCCGTTTCCGTTGACGAAGTCACTGTATTTGATGTGATCTATCGGTTGCGGTTCCGCAATATTTCAGGGCTAAAATCTCCCGTGTTATCAGTTTGTTACTTGTGAAGACTTTTGGTTTGGTCTTGATTACTTATCCCTTATCCTGTCTATCGACCCTGCGGTTTGTCGCTTCTGTGCGATTATCTACCTCTGCTCGTGATTAAGTATCACTTTATGGGTCAGGTGAAGTCTTGACAGCCATCTGGGCTGCTCAGTAGCTCTGCAGTATCGGGTGCTTGACAGCTGCCTGACTGGGTCTAATTGTAGTGAATTCCATTCGTCTGCACCACTGGATTTCTCACATCATTATGATTGATAATCAATGTATTTCGAGGATCCAGCCACTACCCATCCAGTTTGCATACAAGCCGAAGCGTTGATAGCTTGCTCATAGAACGTCATCTCCATCTTCTGTCCAAGTGTGACTTTCTTCATCGATTTCGTCTGAAAGTCTCCGCCCCCGTGAGTTAGCCACTTTTGTACCTGGCCGTCAAGCCATTACCCCTTGATCCTTTCCGCCCTTGGACTGGCCACTGATGTCTATGGAGCTCCAGCGTTGTACTCCATGTCACCAGAAGTGCAAGATGTTGTTGGAGTTAACAAGCATGCCATTTGCTAAAATGAACGATATTCATCTAAGAGAGAACGAAAGAATGCGAAAGCATCACTATTTCGTTTACTTGCGATAGCAGTTTTGTTTATCACTATCTTGAAGCCATCTGACCCTGCTTTGGAAGACCACATCCATTCGCCCATTTCTTGCCTATGACTTTTGTTTGTGCTCCTCTGCTTTCCAGTCGTTTATTCCCTTGACTTGCTCCGTCTGTACACTTTCAGACAATTTTTAAGCATTGGAGTACACAGTCAATTGGCTTTCGAAGCAGACGACTTAATCGGTGACAGTAAATCCCATCGCATTGACGGAAAACTGCTCATCAAGAACCTCAGTGTTGTTCATGTTTTGACCCGCCATATCAGCAGAACTGTGTTGGAATCTGCCGTTCCGAAACACGCAAATTATTAAGTGCACCACTCAACCTGGATCAATTTTCCAATGGACATATAACTCAGGGTTCATAGCTACATCATGCGATCCAATAACGATATCGGATTTGGTTCGTTCTTTTAATCACCTCGATGGTGAGCGCTAGCTATCACGAAAAGCATGCTTAGGTGCCCGAGCGATTACCACCTGAGGTCGCCATGCCATTTGCCCTCTCCCGAGGCTTTACTTCTAGTGGTCCGTCTGAAATGCTTTCATAACTCCTTTTTGCTCTTCTCTCTAGTATTACCGACGATTAGTTGGCAGTAAATCTTCCCATCCTCATAAATGGCGTGCTGTTCATAAGCAGGCTGTGCTTAGATGCACGTCAACAACTGCTCAGATCTTCGAGACTCCTTTCTTCTTGACTCGGGCAATATGCCATCTTTCTTGCCCAATTTAGGTGTACACGGCATCTCTGTTGCGTTACTGGGCATTTTCAACCAGTTTCGTCCCTGAGGTTTCGCTATGCTCATACCACTCGATAGGCGGTTCCATATTAGGTACCCGAAATCCCCGGTTCATCACCCTCAGGCATCATTTGGGTGCCTGTAATTTATCCTTCCTCATTTCATTAACTTATCATCCAGTCTCAGTGCCGATTTTTGCAACCTACTTTTTGAGATACCTGTTAAATTAGCTTCTTAAACCTACTACTAGCTCAATCAATACTCATTATCAATTGGCTAACATACCTGATATGCAAAAGATCACGTACCAAATGATCGATGGTTGAAATGGTCACTTTATTTGGGACCATCAGTCTACTGCTTTCCTAGACAGGCTCACGCTTTTCAGCGAAACGCAATCAGTTCGTATACGAGATCAAACTGAACAACCATGCTGAACGCACTGTGCCAGGTTCGCTGCCCGTCTTGCTGCACGTAACTCCCGCGTTTGCTCTCACTTCAACCTTACGTGCTTACCGATAGCATCGAGACTGCGCCCTCCAAAAATACATCGTACGCTGCTTCAGCAAACTTTAGTTTGTCTGGGTCTTAATACGATATGTGAATCTGCCCTCCGCTAAATGAAAACGATCTCTCTATTCACATTTCAATTCGTTCCTTATTTGTTGCACTCGTGTTCTAAGTTGTCTCCAAGTCCTGGATCTGGAACTGCGCTGATCCAACACTCTTCATCATTCATCATTATACGCGATAGCTAGAAGTGGAAAAAACCTCAGTTACTGTGCCGCATACCTAAAAGGAAAAAATATGCAACAGTTGCATGCCATGTAAGCTACCAGTAACGGGTGGGTATCGTTCCGGAAAGCTACCAGCCGGCTACTATGCAGCCAAAAAATTAAGTAGCAAAATTTATATTATGCTAAGAGATCGCGCTTGATGGGGGGGGGGCGGCTAAGATGGATAGGGAAGGACAAAGAAGCTCACAACGCGAATGCCATTGATGACGGCTCCTAGCGATATCATCGATTGTATCCAGCTACACGTGCCTATTGTCCTTCGGACCACAACCACGGAGCCGAGAGGCTCTAACCGAGGCCAACTCCGAAATAAGGGCCTTCATTCCTCTTGACCAAGTCATCGTCTGGTCTCCCCTCCTCTTCTTCCAACCACACCCCCGGTGCGCCAACGACGCACGTCACGGGAGTCGGTGGGCTGGCCGAACCATCAGAGCCTGTTGCGTTTAATAACGGTGCTGAGCGGTTCACTTTCTTTTCCTATGCTACAAACAGGACCTTGAACACGCTTGTTCCCCATGCGGTGTTCCCACCAGATGCGAGCCAAACTGCGAAGACACCGGTAGTCGAACGTAATCCAACACACTTAACTTCATGGTTCGACCTGAGTATGCGCTTGTGGTGCTGTGGAGTTCTGAACTGTTTCAGAACTAGAGTCGAACCACTCCGATCACTTAATATGGAGCTGAGTTTTTCTCCTCTCTGATATCATTTATCAGTATGTCCACAACTCTGGCTTTGCAGTTGGGTCAGATCCGATAGCTCACTATACTATATGGAATGGACATCACGAAATGCTCGTGGGAATGGCGCGGATAACCTATATCCATTTCTTTGAGACCAAAAGGGCGTCTGGTTCGCTCACGGAATTTTCATTACAAGTTAATAGAACGTAATTTGTATGACGAAAATTGTACCACCCACTGATGAATTCCGGGAAGATGGACAAAGTAACTTATGAACTGCAGTCTTTAGATTTATGGTGTAAACTCTACGTTAGAAGTTTATACGCAAACGCATGCCTACTACTTTTTCCGGCCGGTGGCCGAATGGACAAGCTGTCTGCCTTGCGACGCAGGCGTCACTGGTTCGAGTCTGCGTAGGGGACCGGACGATCCCCGCAGTGTCCTTAGCCCATGCACCACGTCTGTTGGTGATTGCGCGGCAGCGAAGCGTCGGTACTGTGCGTACCGGCATACAGCTGCTGCCATTTTTCTTTCGCTATCAATCCTGTACATAACCTGAGATACTTTTTGTACACAAAAACCCACAGATGGCGTTCACTCAACTCCCGTCTCCCGTCATGAGTATCGATACACTCCTCGTATACTGGTGTTTCTGGCATCCGGTCCCACTGATAACCGTTATTTCTTAAACATTCTGTACTACTTAGACAGCACCTGTCTAATCTCGAACTTTTATATACCATGGACCCGTTGTGTATGCAGCGCGAAACTCCTCACTGTTTACGCCTGCGGTCCTTACTGAGAAGCTGCCTCTTTGTGCCCAGCAAATATGTCTATTTATTCACTTAACCCTTCCATTGTGAACGATTAACACATCAGTTTTGCTCAGTGACATGATGCACAGTATATTTGCACAGACCACTTTTATTTGACTATGCGTAGTCTCCGTAGCTGTAGTTACTTGGAACGGTTCAAATCATCTCCCTAACATATTTATGTCTCAATACTTGTCCATCTTAAGCACTTAATCAAAGCAAAAAGAAGACATAGATTGCCATATGTCAACATTTCGATTGTTCTCCTCAGTCGCATACACCATACAAGCAGAATCGTATACACAAACATATACATGGGAAAAATTGGCACACCATTAAAAACGTCAAAATCAAGACCAAGACAATCTGGTAGATTGCCTCAAGAGTTTCTGTGCACATCGCACAGATTGATAGGCCCTAATTAGCGACGCTTCACTGATTGCCAACATTATCGGATTCCGGTTACGTAATAGCACTTTAAACGCAGTCATCGTGGCCACGTTGTGACCAGTTGTCACGAGTTGCTTGGTGATAGATAATGACGGAATCCGGTTCATTCTGGGGGTCGCTCCAGTTTGTTGCGGCATCATTTGTTCCTCCCACTTTGGCAAGTGTTCAGCCACTCTTTGAGCCAATTGACGGTAGTCCTGCCCATGTAAACGTCACTGCAACTGCAACTGAACTGATAAACCACATGAAAGGGCGAACTAGCCAAAGAGTAGCCCTGACGGTCATGAAGAATAAGTTTCCGAGTTGTGTGCATGAGGCTCAACTGGGCAGTCGTGTACGTGCGCGTTAGGGCGGACCTAAGCTTCTGTCCGATGTCATTTGCCACATGGTCTCCTTTGAAGGGCAGAAACAGATACACAGCTTTTTTCTCTACCGTTAGCACCGGCGGTTTCTTTTTGGGGCCTGTGCTGTGCATTTAGATGAACTTTTCAGGATAACCATTTGACACCAAACTCCTATGCAGAAACTTCTCTTCGGCTTCCAGCGTATCCGGACTACAAATTCTTCTGACTCTGTAGAACAGCGTTTTCACTAGGCCGCGTTTGTATGCAACCGGGACAAAACTTTAAAAGTGAAGGTACTGCCCACTCCAGGTTGCCTTGTGGTAAACAGTGCGCTGCAATCTACCTCCGTCCTGTCTCTTAATGAGGATATCCAAAAATGCCAGTCAGCCGTGTTGTTCCATCTTGTGGGAGACCGGTAAGTTGGGGTGAATTGAATTTAGAGTGGTTAACAGGCGAGTAAAATGTTCGCTGTTGGTGAACACCAGAATGTCATCTACATACCTTTTGTATAACCTTGCTTCACCAATACTGGCTGAGACTTGTTTTTCGATCAAGCCGTGAAAGATGCCTGCAAAGACGGGTCCCAGAGGGCTGCCCTTGACGACTCCGTCGATCTGCATGTCTGCCGCCCCCCTCCGGATTCCGTCATAATCTATCACCAAGCAATTCGTGACAACTGGTCACAACGTGGCCACGAAGACTGCGTTTAAAGTGCTATTACGTAACCGGAATCTGATAATGTTGGCAATCAGTGAAGCGTCACTAATTAGGGCCTATCAATCTGTGCGATGTGCACAGAACCTCTTGAGGCAAGCTACCAGATTGCCTTGGTCTTGATTTTAACGTTTTGATTGGTGTGCCAATTTTTCCCATGTATATGTTTGTGTATGCGTTTCTGCTTATATTGTGTATGCAACTGAGGAGAACAATCGAAATGTTGACATATGGCAATCTATGTCTCCTTTCTGCTTTTATCAAGTGGCTGAAGAGGATCCAATGTTTAGCCATCTTAGGCAGTTGATACGTATCTCGGTGCGTTGCTTTTTGACGGTTTCAGGTCCTGCAGTTTTGGATTTTGGGACATTCACTTGCCCCTACTTGCTTTTCCCCTATCATACTTTGGAAGTTATTATGCAGGATCACTTGATCGATGAGTTTATAACTTTTCATAATTCGGCGGCATTCTTACTCATTTTCGTAATCCCCTTCCGACTGGGAATATTGTTCAATATTTGCTTCGAATGCTGCCGGTGGCGACTACGGGCAATGATTGGTGCACTTTTGAAACGTCATCTTGGGAGGTTACTTTTCTTGTTGCCTCACTTCTGCAAGCCTTTACCTTCTATCATTTTGTGTTTCTGGTATTTCGCATAACACGGTCGACAAGTCCTTGTCCTCGTTGTTTCGTGCGCTTAATATTTTCGCCTGACCAATCCAGCTTGTCGTGATTCCATAGAATTCCAGCGTCTCATCACCATGCTTTGTTGGAATTTGGTTTACTGCTAGTCCCGAGTGATATCGGCCTCTTCCGCTCGTCCACAGACCTGACGGACTTTTCTTGTGGTAAACTCCTCTACTCGATCTAACATAGTGATCATCTGGCGCTGACAGCATGTTTTGATCATCTGCTACTGCGGATTCTTGTAACAATGCAGGAAACATCGTCGCTTATTTCCATTGAGCCCCTGAGCGGTCTAGTGTAGCAGGCGGCCGTTTTCTGATGACCTTGATTGCCGTCTTCTAGCCTTCCTAATCTTAAATGTTACTGGTGAAGGTACTCAACTATGCGCATGCGCTGTTACCGTCGCACGTGAACGCGAAATCACTGTACCATTTCGCATCACACCCACTGACTATTCTGTTTTGCTTCATCCCACTCTGTTGTCTTCGTTTTCACCGTGTTCCGAAACTTTTCCTCATCAACCTTGTTCTCTTCTACTCAGGATGCCAATTCCACCGAATTTGATGCTCACTGCAAGTTTCCCGTTGTAATCGAAATGCCTGAATTTAATCCAGGACATATGGGTGGCACAATGCGGCTTGGGCGCCGTCGAACCTCGTTTTACTTGACGGATACCGCGGTCGACTACTTGAATAGGAATTATAGTTGTGCAGACATTCCAGTCTCCGGATGTGGTGACGGACCAGGACCGCTTCGTACTGACAGCGTCGTACACCGTTTGATCAACGCACCGTTTTTTGATGCACGGCATCGACATCGGTATGAAGTGAATCCGGAGTTTGTCAACACACTGGAAACCGCCGGATTGGCGGTTGTGGGACGTGACTCTGATGTGGGCAATCGGATGGAGGTCATCGAACTCTTTCGCCCATTGCCTCACGGAACTACCGTTAGTCAGTTGGAAAATTGTTTCCCACCGCCTGCAAAATTGGACATTCAAATGCCAAAGCAGAGTCCCGTTCGACATCCCTTTTTCGTCGCAACTCAATTTCATCCGGAATACACGAGTCGACCGGCTCATCCTTCCCCCTTCTTTGTTGGCCTTGTCCTTGCGGCTTGTGGTAAACTCGAGCAGCACTTGCAACGACCGTTCCGCTTGAGCCCCACTATGCTGCTGGGTGAACTGAGCACATACTCTTCTTCCTCTCAATTACAGGAAGGTGGGACAGCGAATAGTCCAAACACAGAAAAACGTCCCAGCGCAGACCAGTTAGTGGATGAAGTTAACGCCAAACTGAATTTGTCGACTAGGAATTTGGCCGTCGAGGACAAAGAAGTTGAGCTGACACTAACTAGCACAGTGAATTTTCATCTCGACGTCAACGAATAAGTGAACTACTCATGCAAGTGAGTAGCTTACTAGTGTACATACCACTTCTCCTTTTGTATTTTCTCCACAGTCCCTAATCTTCTGCTGTTCTTACCCGTACATCAAATGAAAATGGTCACATCTGTTCCCACTTCCTTCACTCCCTTTTAGCGACCTAGATTAAGCACAGTCAGGTTTTTTGATCCTTCGTATTGCTCTACTCCTTTGTTTTCCAAACTAAATCTTCACAGTAGCTTAGTCTGTCACGCCGCTGTACTTGGTAACTATGCTGCATTTTGAGATCCCTATATTCTGACAAACACCTGATAAGTCTTCCTTTTCCCATTATATTATCCTCTCAACTCTGTGATAACGAGCGTGTGAAATGGACATGGTTGGCGGCATCCAGTGACGGATTTGCTTGTTACTGCGACCTCCATGGGTACAACCACAGGACGCCTGTGACTACAGAGGAACCATGGGGGCTTGCGCTGAACCACCACATCTCTATCCGCACACTCCATATCAACGGAACCGGCCCCCACTCCTTCTACGTGCACAGCAACAGCATTCCTGTATATCTATGTTGGGAATCATGCGCACCGGACATACAAAAGGCAGTGGCTGAGCGGTAGTCCGTTTCACACTGGATGGAACCACTCTTTGAGCCTAGAACGACCATGATCACCGTGCACCCCGTCCCCCAAGCAACGATTCACAGTCTCCTGGAGCAACTAATAGAGTTGGAGGTGTTAGGCGGGTAACCACCTTGTCAACATTCACATCCAGCGCAGCCACACCGGGGATATCAAACAACCGACATCGAATTTAAGGGGAGTAAACACGCAGGCTTGATAAATATGCAGCAGAATAACAGAACTAAACAAACCAGATACAGTGCAGTGAATTTTATCCAGATTAAAATGACCTAGATTAACTGTTAGTTGGTTTAGACCAACTGCGATGAAGAAGCATCATAAATGCAACTTCAACAGCACGAGACATACTTGATATATATATATATATATATATATATATATATATATATATATATATAATAGGTCTTTTTAAGCTGGATAAATTTCCTACCACTTTAATGGGTTTGTTCTGCCTACCTGAATAATCTTTTATTAACTGGCCACGTTGCTTACGCCAGTTGCGCTTATCTTCGTTAACTTTGTTGCATTTGTAATGTTCAAACAACTTCTTGATGTTTTGCACTTATCGCGGATTCGTTGCTAACCAACTTACTTCATATGCTAATATAGCGAAGAGTTATGTCACCGTATCTCTATGCCCATCGCAACGAGACTGGACCTTAACCTACTGCGATGGTTTGTGTGCCTCATTGATCCATTGAGCTATGCTGGGTGGTGCTTTTGCACCTTCAGAGCCACTCATACCAGATTGGTCAATGGTTTGAGGCCTGACAAGCGCAGCCTGATCCTGGAGCTTGGGGGTTGGAGTGAGGGTGGCTCCTTATACCTTAAGACGGACTCCTTGTAGCCCAACGCCAAACCCGCTGCCTTGCGGTCAGGTTTTTGAACCAAAGGCTTTGGTTGAGAACCCTAATCGTTCTGCTGTCTAGGCCTGGGCAACCTGACAATATCCAGCCCACGCAATACAATGAATCTCTCTTCAAACAAATTCCTTAAGACCTGGCCACCGCACAGGATAATCAGCGGTGCCCTATCTGCTGCATCGAACAGGGTGGATAGGGTTTAAGTGCTACTGCTCAAGTCTTCCCGTCTTCTTATTCCCCCACTTACGCTTTTTCTCGCTTATGCTCCCGTTCCAACTTCATTTTTATCCCCCCAGTTTTCAACCCCCAGATTCTTGGCCCTCCCTCAACGTGCTTTGCTAGGCATTTATCTTCTTATTTAAACTCACATGCTAACGCGGAGCGTGACTCCTCTCCTGTCGACAAGCCCATGTCCAACCAAGCGTTCTACTGCAGTTCATCGGCTTCCATTTGAAGCCCTCGATCCTCATTCAGATTGACATGCCTCAATGTACGCACATTGCTACAGATCGGTCAACAGACAGCACTTGCCCGAACATTAGAGATCGATATCTGCTGCTTATCGGAGACCCGCCTACAAGACTCGAGCTCTATGCTCACTCTGCGATCCCCTTCAGGTGACACCAGCAGTATTTTCTCATTGCGCCTATCCAGTGGCGATGCAGCTTCGAGCACCAGCCAAGCTGGTGTTAGTATTGCTCTGAATCCCCGGGCTGAAGCTGCGCTGCTTGATTGGATTCCAATCAGTAGCCGGATGTGTGCAATCCGATTGGCTGGCTCGTTCAAGTCTTCGAAGTCGCGCGGGACTAATAGGTGTTTATTCATCATCGCTGTCTACGCGCCCACAAACTGTAGCGATGAGTCGGTAAAGAACGACTTCTACCGCCAACTGACCCAGCTCCTTCGCCACAGAAGAAGCTCGGGCACTGCTGTGCTGGCGAGGGATCTGAACGCACAAGTCCACCGATGAAATGCATCTGGACGGTCACCACGGTGTAGGCTCCCGTAATGATAACGGTGAGCGGTTACTTCATTTGAGTGAAGATGCCCGCTTATTTCTTACGAGCACTAACTTCCGACACATCGGTCGCCGGAGGGTGACTTGGCGCCCACCAGCCTTGGACGCAAATCGAGCACCTTGCAATCAGTTACCGCTGGAGGGGCTGCATCCAGAACTGTCGCTCGATTGGGAGCACATGTGTGGACACTGACCATGCACTTGTATGTGCTAATATGCGGATGCCATTTGGCGGACGCCCACGACGACGCTGTGAGCGTATTGACACCAGCCAACTGACAAAGCTAGTTGTTCTGAATGCCTATCAAAGTACACTGACATGCGAGTTGAGTAAGCGCTCACTGGAGACAATTGAAGGTCACTGGTCGCATGTTCACCAGACCTTACTAGCAGCAGGTAAATCATCATGTGGCAAATCCACTAGCCAAAATAGACATTGGGTCTCTTCGCAGTCTGTGGAACTTATCGATGCTCGCCGGCACATTCCGGCTGGAAGCGAAGACAACGAGACTCGCAAAGACTTGAGGGCAAAACTCCCTGCTATTTTTGAAGAGGCCGTGAATCCTGGTGGTCTCATAGTGCGTCAGAGATGGAAGTGGCCGCTGCCCTTGTTAAACATCGGAAGTTATTTCGTCTGATACGGTGAACAGGCAGGTGGAGAACTAGTGTTATTGAAACAATTGTTGGTAAGGACGCCCGCTGTCACCTTTTCAACTTCACTATTGACGAAGTTATGAAGAGCGCGTTCACAGCACACGACTTAGGAGGTGTTGAGCTGCTCCAATGTGAACGACTTCTTGACTTGGTGTATGCTGACAATATTGCCCTCATCTGTGATAGCTCCCAGGCGTGCCAAGCGGCACAGGACAGATTAGCACTGGCTATCATCCGTTTCGGGCTATGCTTTGTACCCACAAGTCCAAAGCGTTCCTCCAGGATTGGCAGGGACCGGATCCTGCGCTGATCCTTGGTGGGGATCAGCTGGAAGTCGTTCAAAAGTTCAACCACCTAGTTAGTTGCATCTGCGCCGTTGGAATTAAAGAGGACATGACAAACCGTATAGCTAAAGTACAAGGCGCTTTTGCTTACCTTCGCCACCTATGGCGACGGCGCGACATCACCATCTCCCTGAAGGGTAGAGTATGCAATGCAGCCATACGTACGACCCTACTGTACGAATGTGAAACCTGACCCATTAGATCAGCAGACATAAGGAGGCTAGTTACGTTCGACTACCGGTGCCTTCGTAGTTTGGCTCATATCTGGTGGCAACGCCATGGGAGCAATGAGCGTGTTCGACGCCTTGTTTATGGCGCAGATAGAAGAAGCGAACCGCTCAACACCGTTATTTCATGCACCAGGATGCGATGGCTCAGCTACGTGTTGCGCATGCCAGCCCATCAACTCCCGCGACGTGCGTTGTTTGCGCGCCGGGGTTGTGGATGGAAGAAGAGGAGGGGAGACCAGACGATGACTTGGTGAAGAGGAATGAAGGCCCTTATTTCGGAGTTGGTCTGGGTTAGAGCCTCTATGCTCCGTGGTTGTGGAGTCCGAAAGACTAGGAACACGCTTGGCTGGATGCACTTGTTGAGATAGCTAGGACCCGATCTCAATGGCGATTGTGTTGCAAGTTTTTTTGTTCCTCCCCATCCCGGTTAGCCTTGCCCTCCAATCACGATCTCATTCACTAGGCATAACATAACTCGTTTTTGTGGCACCTTAGCCGGGCGTTAGCTCTTCGGAACGGCGTCCATCCGTTACTGGGAACTCATCCCAAGGTGCCTCTGTTGCATATTTTTTCGTATGTATTGCGGCACAGTAGCTGAGGTGTTTCCCAACTGCAGCAAACTTGTATGATGTTGGTAATGATGTTGATGTTGTTGTTGCTGCTGCTGCTGATGATGATTAACCTACGTTACGAGGGCGTGATCAAGGTTAGTCTAACACTAACAGATGTAGATTTTAGGTCTTGGAAATCAAAGGCAGGGGATGGACGCGAATGGCGTGTGCTACTCATGAGTTGCGCTTGCTCATGTGTAGGAACAATCACTGCTGCATGCGGAGGAAAAACATCGTTTGAATAAACGACATGCGCCGATGGATTCCACCCTATCCATGTCGAGCGCAGTGCTGTGGCGCATGCGGTCGAGATAGCCTGGTGAGGCACCAGCAGGGCCATGTGGAGCCAACATCTAAGAGAATACAAGCGAATGAAATGTTATCCTCATTAGCGCGGCGTACGGTACGTAGGCTGCTTTCGATTCCATTGCATTTACTAACCCAGACCAATAAGGCTGTCGATGTGGTACATGTGCTGCGCATACTTGCATTTGGACTGTAAGTGTGTATGTGTATTGATTTTCTTGCATTTAAGGTTTTGGCTTATTATTGATATCCCCGGTGTGTTTGCGCTTGATGTGAATGCTGACAAGGTGCTTCCTGTCGAAAACCGTCACCTTGATTATACTGGTTCTAGGATACTGTGATTCGTTGCTTAG